GAGGAGGAGGAGGAGGAGGAGGAGGAGGACGAGGAGGAGGGGGGGCGGGCCGGGGCTGGGGCCGGGCCCGGGGCCAGAGCTGGGGCTGTGGCCTGGGCCAGGGCCGCGAGGCCGGGGCCGGGGCCGGGGCCAGAGCCGGGGCCGGGGCCGGGACTGGGGCTGGGGGCTGGTGTACCCGGGCCGGGGCCGGGGCCGGGGCTGAGACCCCCGAGCTGGAAGGGAGCAGACCCAGACATGATCGCGTCGAAAAAAAATCAGAACAGAGGTTTTTCATGATTTTCGGCCTCTAGAGGCCCTCGCCCGGCCTCGGGACCGTCAAAAAACGACTCAGGATGAAAAACCGGCCCCAGGGAAAAAATCTGGACTTCCAGGGACGCCGTCCTGAAAAAATCAGGACGTCGCATGTCTGGGGAGGGGAGGAGTTCCCATTCCATGCTGTGCGATGTCGTAGGGGCTGGAGTGCTGGTCGGGAGCCTCCAGGTCCCTTTGGCTCCGGGTGTTGGTCAGGAGCCCCTGGGAAGGAGGAGGACAGCGACGACGACGACGACGACGACGACGACGACGACGACGACGACGACGACGACGACGACGACGACCGGAAGAGCGTCTCACACACGCCGACAGGGTTGGCAGATTTTCCTCTTGCGCAGCCGTCGGGATGACCCCGAAGGCAGATCGGAGGCTCCACATATAGATTTCAGTCCTGTGGCTGGTGTCCCGTGTGGGGATCCCGCCCGGCACGTCCCAAGGTTCTGCTGGGTGCTCCAGGGGGGGGTCGTCACGCAGCTCACTCCAGGAACCCCGCATCTTTATTTTAGGTTTGTGGCGACCCCTTTCCGAAACAACCTCATGTAGAGGCCCCAGAGGGGAGGTTCCGCAAGGGGGCTCCCGGGTGCCCGTACGGCTCGTCCCAAGAAGCTCATTCCAGGAGCCCCAAAGATGTTTTTTTCGTTTGTGTCCCCCTTCTGAAACTATATATATATATATATGTATACAGATCTGCATCTGTGTGTATGTATGTATGTATGTATGTATGTATGTATGTATGTATGTATGCATGCATGCATGCATGCATGCATGCATGCATGCATGCATGCATGCAGGCACACATGCATGCATGCATGTATGCATGCATGCATGCATGTATGTGTGTATGTATGTATGTATGTATGTATGTCTGTATGTATGTATGTATACATGTACATATATATGTATGTATATATACCTGTATATATGTATGGATGTGCATGTATATATGTATGCATGTATGCATGTATGTATGTATGTATGTATGCATGCATGCATGCATGTATGCATGTATGTATGTATGTATGTATGTATGTACGTATGTATGTATGTGTGTGTGTATGTATGAGTGTATGTGTATATATATATATATATATATATGTCTATGCATGTATGTAACTATGTATGCATGAATACATGTATGCAGGTATGCATGTATGTATGTACGCATGTATGTATGTATGTAATGTAATGTAATGTAATGTAATGTAATGTAATGTAATGTAATGTAATGTAATGTATTGTAATGTAATGTAATGTAATGTAATGTATGCATGTATGTATGCATGTATGTATGTATGTATATATGTATGTATGCATGCATGCATGTATGCATGCATGTATGTGTGTATGTATGTATGTGTATATGTATACGTATTTGTATATGTATATGTATATGTATATGTATATGTATATGTAAATGTAAATGTAGAGGTATGTATGAATGTATGTATGTCTGTATGCATGTGTGTATGATAGTATGTATGTACGTACGTACGTACGTATGTATGTATGTCTGTATGTCTGTATGTCTGTATGTCTGTCTGTCTGTCTGTCTGTCTGTCTGTCTGTCTGTCTGTCTGTCTGTCTGTCTGTCTGTCTGTCTGTCTGTAGGTGTGTGTGTATATATATATATATATGTATTCCCCACTCAGTGCTTGCACTGAAGGGGCCCTAGCGAAAGTTGAAAGATTTTGCGGAAGTTTCCCGCCGATTTCTGTAGCAGGCTGGGTTCCCGGGTTCCCGGTTCCGGGTTCCTGGGTTCCCGGTTATTGGTTCCAGGCCGATTTCGGTGGGTTTGGGTTCCCGGGCTCCCGGATTCCCGGTCGATCTCCTCAGCAAGAACCGTCCATTGATTGGGGTTTTCCTTTGGTGTAGTATATATTCATGTTCTCTCTCTCTCTATATCTATCGATATGTATTCCATGTGGGCAGGTCCCGCTGGGGGATCTGGGGGGCCGAACATTAATTAGCGTTGCCCTGCTGGCGCCACTCGGGTGCCCGTCTGGCCCGCTCGGGGGGAGCGGGAAACAGGTGCAGTCCGTGCTGCGCTGCGCGCAGAGGGGCGGCACCGCCCGCCTCTTCGCGTCGCCTCGAGGCGGGCGAGCTCAGGCTCGCCCGCCCCGCCGTTTGGCCGGCGCTCCGCCGTGCGCTCGGGCTTCGACCGTCGTTCGCTGCCTGATTCGCCGGTAGCGGCGCTTCATCTGGAGCGAGAGAGTGATAGAGAGAGAGGGAGAGAGAGAGAGAGAAAAGGAAGTGCAATTCACAACGATCGGTGATCACAGTTAGCTTCGTGTGCACTCTTAGCGCCTAGCGCCTCTCGGGAGGATGTTGTGAAGACCTCGGTGAAGTCTTTGGGCGGCCGTTCAGCCATCCTGGGCTGGTCTTGGAGCATCCTTTGAGGGATGGATGCAGGGAGGATGGAGGAGCACATAGGGATGCTGGCGACTGATGAGCAGAGGATGGAGGACTGGGAACCGAGAGGGCTCGAACATCATTTTCGAGCCAATAAGGCGGACAGCAAAGGCAAACATGCCAGCCAGACATCGCATGCACTGTAAGACCCCCCCCTCCCGAAGTGCAGGGATCATGGTGGCGGATACAACATGTTTGCGTGGATGGCCGTGCCATCGTCTTCGCCCGATCCCAACGAGGCAGCGAAAAGAGCGGGTGGACGATCGAGGGGCGAGGGAGGGCGAGGGAGATGAGGACAATGGGGAAAAGGAGAGGGAGGAGGTGGAGTAGGAGGAGGAATGAGGGCGGTGATGAGGGTGGAGGAGGAGGAGGAGAGGGAGAAAGAGGAGGAGAATGAGGAGGAGGAGGAGGAGGAGGAGGAGGAGGAGGAGGAGCAGCAGGAGGAGGAGGAGGAGGAGGAGGACGAGGAGGAGGAGGAGGAGGAGGAGGTGGAGCTGAGGAGGAGGAGCTGGAGGATGCGGAGGAGGAGGAGGGGCATGGCCAGGAAGGTGTCTTTGTCGACTTTTCTCCGCCTCCTTCCGCCGCCTCCCGCTCCACTTGTCCCGCTCCCCCCCTCCCCCTGCTGCCGCTGCTGCTCCTCTTTCAACGCTTCTTGGACGCAGGGAGTGGGAGGCGCTGCGAGAACATCCTCTTGGGGCACACCGACACGGTGCCCTCCGTTCGATGCTGCTCGTCGTCGTCGCCGCTGTCGTCGTCGGCGGCCCTGTCGTCGTCGGCTTCGTCCCTGTCCGTGTCGTGGTCGCGATAGTCGTCGTCGTCGTCGTCGTCGTCGTCGTCGTCGTCGTCGTCGTCGTCGTCGTCGTCGTCGTCCTCGTCGTTGTCGTCGTCGTCGTCGTGGATGAGTGGGCGGCGGAGAAGGATGCTTTGGCGCTTCTTTCGGATGGCTTCGGTGGATGTCATGAATTGCCCGAGGCATCCGGAAGTTTATGGATAAGGGGGCGGACAACCACGAGGAGGGCGGATGTGGATGATGCTTCCGAGGGAGGCCGAGGAAACAGGGAGAACGGAAGCAGGCTGAGGTGAAGGAGGAGGAGGAGGAGGCTTCGGATGGGAACCGAGGAAGAGGTGGGGGGAGAAGGAGGGAGGGAGTAAGATGCTGATGAGAAGCAGTAGGGTGAAGACATGCAGAAGGGTAGGGTGAAAGAAGAGGAGTAGGAGGATGAAGAGGATGCATGCAGGTGGAATCAGCAGGGCGTCCCCAACAAATAAACAAATAATTGCATGTACATATTCCTCTTCCTATATTTTTATAAGCCCGGGTGGGGGGAAAACCCGTCCCCCCCCCCAAAACCGGACTCCCGGGATCTGGGGCTTTCGGAACCTCCAGACGGGCCTCGAAGCGGCCACTGGGCCTCACATGGCGTTTTGCCAAGCCTTCCCAGCACACCTAGGGCGATCAGGGGGGTCATCGGAGACGTCCCAGAGATCCCCAAAGACAGCACAAGAACGCTCCAAGAGTGACCGACGTGACCTCAAGATGGCTCAAGAGGCCTCCAGGACGGCCCCAAAGAGGCCTCCCAGAGCACTCCCAAGAAGGCCCCCCGAGGCAAAAATCAATGATTTTCTGGAGGTTTTTGGTGAATTTTAGGGTTCTCCTCTTTTCGGTTTCCCAACGCTCCAAGACGGCGGTCTTCTGGGCGCCCGAAGCCGCCTGGGAGGCTCCCAAATCCCCCCACAACCATACGAAAGGGCTTCCAGGCAGTCCAAGAGAGCCCCCAAACGGCACAACACGGGTCCAAGATGGCCATCAGAGAGCCCCATGGCGGCCCAAGATGGCCCAAAGACACCCTCCGAAGCATTCCAAATCGTGATTCGGTCGTTTAGGGAGACCGCGGTTGGAGGCAGGGTGGCCCGAGGAAGCCCCCGTGTGTGGCCCCCAGAGGCTCTCCAAGGAGGAGCCTCCGCAAAAAAGAGCTGAGAAGGATGGGGAGAGTGCGCAGGGCATGGCGAGAACAAGGAAAAAGAAGCATGGAGGAAGGATAACGAATAACATTATTATAGCGGCGATGCCAGAAAAGGCAACCAGGAGTTATCGCTAAATTGTCGGCTTGACCTTCTTGCTATTCCACCTGCATGCCAAACTTCAAGGACCAAGGTGCATGGCGCGAAGCGCCACTGCAGTCTTGTATATATATATATATATATACACACACCGGCACCCTCCAATGGATAGCTCCTGGGCCTCAGGGGATGGTGGTGGTGTATAAATCACCACTGACTGCATCCCATGGTGCACGCGCTACATCGTCCTGCATGACACTGAATTCTTTGCCTCTAGATCCGATTGCCAAGATGAAGCAAACAGCTCATCACGAGCTGGCTGGAGCGGAGAAAATGTATTTTCTGGCATCGCGGACGCCATACATGGCAAATTGAAGGAACACGAGGATTGGATGGAGTTGGCCAGTTTCCCTTTCTAGCGGCTGGATGGTTTTGGGACAGAGTCTGTAGACTCGCAGGATTTCGTCAGCCGGGCTTGCAGAGCCTGATCCGAGAGTTGGCACCCAGAGTCCATCTGGTTGGGCGCCAACGTTTGTGCATAGTAGATGCTTCCTGCAGTGCAGGTTCCACCTGGATGAGGCAATCGCTGCTGCCGCTGCTTGTCGCTGGCATTTCCTTCCTGCAATTGGGCAAGAGGTGCGAGCAGGCTGTCGACAAGCAAGGCCCAAGTATGCTGCCGTCTGCCACGGTGCCTGCGCATCAAACTTCGTCACACCGCGCCAGCGGAGCAAGAGCGCTTCACGTGGCGACCTCTGACGCTGCACGACTTGTCAGTGCTTCGCCCCTAGGCTCAAGTCGGGCTTGTCCTTTTATATGAGGAAATTCAAAACTAGTCAAAAAAGTAATTTGGTGACAATTTTCTTTATTGTTTGATTATTTCTGAGAATATTTTTAATTTTCCGCGGCGCCACGCTCGCGGCCGAAAGTGCCGATGGTTGCGCTGTCACTGCTTCGTGAGGTTCTGCTGGTACCCGTAGTAGTGTTGGTGGCGGCGGTCACGAAGGTTGCCGAGGCGGCCGCCGCACCACCCCCGCGGCCGCAAGTGCTGCTGGTTGCGCTGCCACTGTTGCGCGTGGTGCTGCCGGTTGCGCTGCCATTGCTGCGCGTGGTGCATCTGGCCCCCGTCCTGGCGTCACTGTCCCCGTCCTGGTGTCACTGGTGTCACTGGTGCTGCTAAGCATTCGTGGTGGGGGGCGCATCGCGGGCGGCCGCGGGGGGATGCATCTTGGTGCGGGCGCCATGTTTGCAATCCTCAGGCGACACAAACGGTGTCGCCGCCGTCTGAGCCAAACGGCCTGCAGGAGGACACGCCCGACCTAACCCTGGGGTCCAGGGAGCCGTCAAAGCGTGACACGCTCTCGGGTATCTGGGGAGGGCGTTGGCGTGTGACGCTTTTTTTTCACGGGGCCCAGAGGGCCCAAACACGTGGCCCGTGTCCATACTTTGACTTTTGGTGGAAGTCCCTGTCTGTCCTGTGACTGGCATGCTCTTCTTGCTCTTCGACGTGAATTCGACGCGGATTCGACATGGATTCGACATGAGCTCGACGTGGTTTCGCCGCGAATCCGATGCGTTCGACATGTATTCGACGCGGGGCCGACGTGGATAGCGGCGCGATGGGAAAAGCAAGGTCTTCCGAAGAAGCAACATGTGATTCCTTGGAGCCCAGAGTGTAGCGACATGTTTCAGCGCGCTTCCCTTGTGGAGGGAAGACAGGAGCATGCGTCACCTGATGTCCTTGTGCCCCGGAGGTCCGCAACATGTTACAGCTGGCTTGACCAGAGTGCCGCAGCACGTGGCACTTGCAGTCAACCCGCATAGTAAGGATGGGCAACCTTTCCAAGGGTACCATTTGCATCCTTGCTCCTTCGGCCCGTCCTTAGCGACTTTCGCTGGCCCACCTCGTTCGAAAAACGTTCACATGGGCCTCCAAGGCCCCTGCATCCTTACCGCGCATCCTTGTGGTCCATACCTTCCGTACCTTGTGATAGTTGGTTCCACCAGGGCCCAGGGGCACAAAACGCGTTGCATGTTTCTTTCCGGGTCCCCTGCGGGCCGTAACATGTGTCAGTTTCCCCATCAACACCCATAACATGTGCCAGTTTCCCCATCAATGCCCAGGACACGTAATGTGTGATACGCCGTTCAACCAAGTCCGACAGAGTCGTAGCACGTGAAGGTTGTCTTCCTCAGGGCCGCGAGGCATATTTCAGGTCTGCGCCTTCAAGCATACGGGCCGATTGCGCGAGCTTTCGCCCTTTTTTCTCGCGTTGGGCCGTTCCAACAGCCTGCGTAAGCCATCGAGTAAGACTTCCGTGTTTTCGTTAATGCCCTCCTTCACTTCGTTGTTCGCGCGACACATCCAAGCTCCATGCCCGCCTCGAAGTCCTTGCTGTCGTTGGCGTCCTCGGTGTCGCTTCTGCAACGGGTCTGGATTCGTGGATCGAAGAGCCGGCATGCGTGCATGGGGGCGCGAGACTCAAATGCTGTTCGGCCAATCTCGAAGGGCTACATGCAGGATAAGGCAGCGCATCGACCTTGCTTGCACGACGTCGAGCTAGGCCCGCGGCGATAGCTTACTCCACGATGTTTTAGTCCTGTTCTGGTCCAGTCGCATATCGGGATGTCTCTCGGGATTGCTTCACTGAGATGACATCTCATAATGCTGTCTGCTCCTACTTCCCTCTTCCCAACTGCTGGTGGAACTGAAACATTTTGAAGAAGTCGATCTCCGCCGGCATTGTCGAGAGTCTGGCAGACTGTAAACGGGATCGAGGTCACCACTCGGAGATGTTGCTGCTGCTGATGTGTGTGTGTGTGTGTGTGTGTGCGTGCCCGTTTTTACGTTTTCCGCTAGTGTTTCCACTACTTCCTTTGCCGCGCGTCCGCTCCAGTCGTTTGCCGCCTTTTCGCCTTGCCCTGCACCGCCCGTTCTCTCGCTTGTGGGCCGCCATTGCGTGCATCTCGGGGTATCGCCTGATCGCGCTGCTTTACAAGGCAGCGAATCTACCCAGCGCGTTTCGTAACCGAGTGTGCGTGTGCGTCTGTGTGTCTGAGTGTGAATGGCGGTTGTCTGTCTGTGTGTGTGTGCGTATGATGTGGTCTTGTGCAGTGGGGCCCTGTTCCTGTACCTGAGTGGAATCGCACAGTGTGGGGGGGGCGTCTGGCGAGGAAGAGCGCGGAGCTGGAGAGCACGCCAGCTTGCGGTGCCCGCTGGCCGTCGTCCACGATGCTGTTTGCAGGTTCGCCGGTGTCAGCGCGCCCCGCTCGAGCATGCGCGACGGTGCCGCGACCTCGCTGGAGGAGGAGCACGCGTGTTCGCCACCTCCCTGCTAGGGCCACCCGACGCCGGTCGGCCGCCCCCACCCCCGTGAACAGGGAGCCGACAGTGCACGCACGCGCCCAAGCAGGTACACGAACACGGTCCCCCAACATCCACGAGACCGGCCGCGTGGTACGAACGCTCGCGCAAATGCGTGCTCTCGAGACCATCGCGAGTCCAACGCGAGTTCATGTACGTGTGCGTCCTGCTTTCGCTCCTGGCCGAAGGGAAGCAAGAGGACGCGCGCGCCGGGAGGTGCTCAGCTGCAGCTTCGCCCCGTCCAGCTTCCCTGGCGCCCGCCCGGGGGGTCGGGGAGACCTGGGCCTGGGCTCGCGGATTTTGCCCATCCAGCGCCCCTGCCGCTCTCTCTTTCCAGCCGGCTCGTTCCCCCTCCCCCGTTCGCTCGTTCCCCCTCTCCCTCTCCTCTCGTGCCCCCTCTCCTGCTCGCTCCCTCGCCTGCTCTCTCCTCTCTCCCCCTCCTTCCCCGCGCCCGCTTGCTCCCTCGGCCCTTCCCCCCCTCCAGCAGGACGACGGGGACGACGTCGACGGCGACGACGTGAGGACGGGGAAGACGAGGACAACGACCACGGCATTCCCCCTCCTCCCTCCTCCGTGCTCTCCCCTCCTTCCTCCTCGCTCCACCTCTCCTCCGCCTCCTGCCATCCGCGCACGCCCACGCGCGCGAGCGGAAAGGCCCGATGAGGGGGGCGGGCGGGGACGGGCACGCTGGTTCTCGCCCTCGGCTTTCCCCTCCTCCCTCCTCCTCCTCCTCCTCCTCCTCCTCCTCCTCCTCCTCCTCCTCCTCCTCGTCCTGCGTGCTCCCGCCTCGTCGTCCCGCGTCCTCCCCCCCCCCCCCCTCCGTGCGGGCGCCTGGGCAGGGGTGACCAGCGCCGGCCCGAGAGCTCCGTGCTGGCCTCCGAAGGCCTGCGCCCACAGAGTCAACGCGCCCAGTGTGAGGGCGCGCGCCTTCATCTCGGGTGCCCTTGTGCCCTTGCCTCCGCGGCGCGTTCTTTGCCGTTTTCCCTGGCCGCCCGCCTCCCCCCAAAACCCCAATTTCGGCCTCCAGCGGTCTTGCAGGTCCTTGCCACCCGTTCTGAAGTTACACGTTTTGACTGCACAGGTTCTTCGGCCCAGTGACGCTCTGAGCGGTTACGTTGTATTCCTGCCTCTGCTCGTCCCGATGCTCCTCGGACGGTGGCGGCGGCGCACCCCGAGATCCGCGCAAGATCAGGCCTCCCGGCCTCCTCGCAGGCGGGGTCGTCCTGGCCAGTTTTCCGCCCCGGATCTGGAGGAACATGACAAAGGGCACCGACAGCGCGTGGGGTGGCTGAGGGGATGGGGGGTGATGGGTTATCAGCGGACGTGTTTGTGGGTTGTGGTTGGCCTAACCAGGCTTGTGGGTGGCCCGCAGGTGCCCCGAGCGGCTGACGGGGGGGGGCAGACGTCCTGGCCAAGGGGGCGGAGCCCACTTGCCGGGGTTACCCGTCACGCTCTCGAGCCACGATCCCGAGTGAAGAGTATTGATCCCGCGTCCCGAGCGTCCAGCATGGCCCATGCAGGCAACCCAGGCCACAAGCATGGCCTAGGCTGCCTCGAAGACGACCCCAGATGGCCCCGAGGCGGCCATATATATATATATATATATGATCTCAAGACGGCCCAAGACACCCTTGTGATGACACGTAGGGGGTTGTGACCCACTCCTCTTCTAGGTCAGGCCAGATACAACCCACCGTCGCATCTACTGATAATAAGAACATGCCATCCCCTTAGCAAACACCGCGGCCAATAGAGCAGAGCACCGAGATCGCGATCTTCTCATGTGATGGGCCCCCCAGATATCTGGTTGACCCAAAAGGGGGTCCAGCTACAAGGGGGTGGTGCAATAGATCTGGTGCAATAGAATTGTGAGTTGCAATAGATTTGGGGCGTGCAATGCGTTCCGGGGCGCAGATGCATTGTTGAATTTTCGCGTGCAATGCATTAGCTTCAATACAATGCAGTACATTTTTTTGGCGCAATACATTTGCAATCCAATTGCCCCAAATCTATTGCACCACCCCCTTTCAGCTGGACCCCTTCTGGGGTCACCCAAGAGATCGGGGCAGTCGAGATGGGTACATAAAGAATGGGCACAAAGACCCGCGGCATTTCCTCATTTTGAGCAGGACTCGCTGTCGATGTCACCGCGGACGTTGTCCATTCGAGATGGAAGGCCGCCTGCCCAGCAACGGCCGCTGTCGGTCTTTGATAACGTTTGTTGTTAGGCACTGTGTTTTTTTTGGTCCGTGCCAATGTAATGTCGGCGCCCAAGCTGGAGGTCTGGACCCCTTCCTGGGACTGGCACCTCATCCTGAGGGTCATTTTGACGGTCCCGACGCCGGGCGAGGGCCCCCGGATGCCGAACACAGCGGACAGTTTCCCGCCGACGTTTTTCCTCACGATGCGAGGGGTCCTGGGGCACAGTGGGAACCCAAGCCAAGAAACACCCTACTCGCCTCCAGGGTGCCCTGGGTTTCTTGGGTTTCCATGGTTTTGCTATGGACAGCGTGACGCTCCCACGCCAAAAATCAGTTGGACGTCCTGGGGTCTCAGGGTTGGATTTCGTGTGGAAGGTTCCTCGTGGTCGAGCTCCCACTGTAACCGTACCTGCTCCCCATCCTCGGAGGATCGATCTTCGGCGGTGCCCCGGGGCCGAAGGCGTGCCCCTAGAGGCACAGGCCGACCCAGTGTTTCTTTTGTTACAGAAAAACTGCATATATGATACAAATATACATATGTTTGTATGTATGTTTGTATGTATGCATGAATGCATGCATGCATGCATGCATGCATGTCTGTCTGTCTGTCTGTCTGTCTGTCTGTCTGTCTGTCTGTCTGTCTGTCTGTCTGTCTGTCTGTGTGTCTGTCTGTGTGTATGTATGTATGTATGTATGTATGTATGTATGTATGTATGTATGTATGTATGTATGGATGTGTGTGTGTGTGTATGTATGCATGTATGTATATATGTATGTAGGTAGGTAGGTAGGTAGGTAGGTAGGTATGTAGGTATGTATGTATGTATGTATGTATGTATGTATGTATGTATGTATGTATGTATATGTGTATATATATAACAAAAGACTTGGGGTTCCCAGGAGGTCCCAGCTCTTTTCGCTTTCCGTCCCGAGTCGTCCATTTTTTTGTACGGTCTGGGGGCTCCTCGGGCTCGCTGTGGGCCCCCCGACGGCCCAACCCGGCCTCAAGTCAGCTTCTATTTGGGGGGCAACACACAAAGAACACATTATACATATAGTGTATACATACATACACCAATGCAGCTGTTCTTTTTCAAGCCGCTGGATTCCTGGGGCCCTCAGGAGCCCCGTGGGGCGCGGACCTCTCGGCGGCGGCGGCGGCGGCGGCAGGCGCGCGCGCGCGCCCGGGGGGGGGGGGGAAGGCCTCGTGGCCAGCGGCGCGCTCGACGGGGCCGCCCGCGCCTGGCGCCTGTCGGACGCGCGGCACCTTTCTGCCTTGCGGGGGCGGCCAAAGAAGGGGGCGTGCTCACTGGGGGGTCGGGTGGGGTATCATGGCAGGGGCCATGACACCTCCTCACATTTCGGGGCGCCCCTTCTTGCTTGAGTGCGTCCCCTCCCCCCCCTCCCCCCCCCCGGGCCGCGCACACGCCGCCGGCAATGCTTTGCGCCCCCCCCTCTTGGACGCCCCCCTTCTTGGACGCCCCCGATCCTTCCTTCCTTCTCTCCTTGCTTCCTTCCTTCGAAGAAGGAACAACGCCATACGGTCGACCCGCATAGTAAGGCTGAGCGACTTTTCCAAGGGTGCCCAGGCATCTTCGCTGGCCGCGCCCCGCTCGCAGAGTGTCGGACATGGCCTTCCAAGTCCCTTGCATCCTTATCGCGCTGATGATGATGATGATGATGATGATGATGATGATGATGATGATGATGATGATGATGATGATGTCGATGCTGATGATGATGATGATGATGCTGATGATGATGATGATGATGATGATGATGATGATGGTGATGGTGATGGTGATGGTGATGGTGATGGTGATGGTGGTGATGATGATGATGATGTTGTTGATGATGATGAGGATGAGGATGAGGATGAGGATGAAGAGCAGGAGGAGGAGGAGGAGGAGGAGGAGGAGGAGGAGGAGGAGGAGGAGGAGTTGGAGGAGGAGCAGGACGAGGAATGGAGACGGGATGCTGAGGTCGGAAGAGGGAAGATGTGGGAAGTATTTCGCAGGTTCGGGAGGTTCTCGCAAGTTTCACGTTCTCTCGGGCGATTCTACAATATTGCGGAGGCCTTACGGCCAGTGCCGCCGACCCTGAAGGGGGACGATGACGACGACGGCGGGGCGGCGGTGACGACGACGACGACGACGTGGGTCAGAGTCCACAGCCATGCTTCGTGGGGTCTCTTCGGAGCACTTTCGTAGGCTCTGGAGGGGCAGTTTTGGGGACTCCTGGGGCCTCTTGGGAGCCTCTTGGTAGCCTCTTGAGGGACGGATCTTTCGGGGCTTCCGGGGGCCTCTTGGGGGCCTCTTGGGACCTCTTAGGGGCCTTGAGGACCTCTTGGGGCGTCCTGGGAGCTTCTCGGGGCCGAGGGCTCGAAATGTTCTTTCGGGTCCCCCGTCTGGGTACCCTCTTGGAGCTGTCATGTGGGCCTCTAGGGTCATTTTGGAGGCCTCTTGGGCCGTCTTGGGGGCCTCTTGGGTCGTTTTGGGGCTATCTTGGATGCCTCTTGGGAACCTCTTTGGGCTATCTTGGGGGCATCTTGGGCCGTCTTCGAGCGTCGGGGAGCCCAAAAGTTGAGAACGCCAAAATCTTTTAAACACCTACGACTGAGCATATAATTTTGCTTGTTGGGCCCTCTCGGAGTGCTCTTGGAGGTCTCTTCGAGCGTCTGGTCAGCTTCTTGGGCCGTCAGGAGGTCATCTTTGGCGTTTAGGACCGATCGTTCGGCAACTCTCTGGCATCGTCTTGGGGGCCTCTTGGGGCACTCTTTGGCTGTCTTGAGGTTTTTGTGGGCCCTGGGGCCCCCTTGGGGGGATGGTATGTTGACCCGGGACCCCCCTCGACACCCGCCTCCTGGACCCCCCCCTGGTGGGGAAGGGATCGAATGGAAGGGGCCTCCCATTCGACTCAATTAGGACGTTTCTAAGTTTCGCTGTGATTCTCGAGGATGAGGGCCCAGGGAAGGGCGGTGACGGGCCCAGGGAAAGGAGGGGGAAGGGCGGCGGCGTCGCCGTCTGGGGTAGGAAGTGAGACGGTCGGGAGG